CAAATATAATAAGTAATTACAATTTACAACCACAAAGATAAATTTTCCCGTGTAATGAGTTTTTATTGATTTCTTCATCACAGCCTTATGCAATCTGAATTCCTTCTAAATTTTTAGTTCTATGCCTCCTATTCCCTAATATTTTCTAGTTATGTTAAATTGGTTTTTGAAATTTGATTCAATAAGGATGTATATTTTTTCCTTTTAAAAAAATTAAGATTCTTTTCTTTTTCCCTATCTCTGTATACAATTTTATATTCATGGAGTTGTATCATGTATGTAGTATGATACTATATCTCATCTTAGTTATGCTCTATTTTGTTCCTTACTAGTTATCTCTCATTTCAATATTTTTTTTAACATATGTTTAGACTATTTTGGTTTATAGTGTGTTTAAGGTATTTTTGTGATACCTTTTGATTTCAGATAAAGAAATTTCCTAGTTGTATATAAATAAATCTATTTATTTTTAAACAGTTATGCAAAAAATTGAGAACTTCTATAAAAGAAAATCACAGTTGACACCTCATATAGAGAGAAATGATGATAGTTTAAAACAGTGCCGTTCCGACATCAACTTTGAGGATCTTTCAGTACATCTATGACTACGAACTCATATCATGGATTACCATCCTAATATAGAGAGAAATGATGATAGTTTAAAACAGTGTCGTTCCGACATCAACTTTGAGGATCTTTCAACATGTCTATGACTACGAACTCATATCATGAATTATCATCCTAATATTTGAGATGAAATTCGTAAAGCATATTTCCAAAAGGGTCCTTGTCAGTTTAGGACTCATGATTTCCCCTATAGGAGTTTTGAGAGAGGGTCATGTTGTTTCAACCCTGCTTGGTTTAGTAACTATTCTAATTGGCTAGAATATAGCATAACCAAAGATGTTGTATTTTACCTATGTTGCTACCTTTTCAAGTCAGATATTGGAGAACAAGCAAGAGGATGACTCCTTTGTGGGTGAGTCGTTTTCAAATTGGAAGAATAAAGAAAAACTTAAAAGTTCATGCTGGAGGCACTAATAGTGCCCACAACCAAGCTTGGAGATCATGTGAAGCTTTGATGAACCAAAAGCAACACATTTAAACAATTTCTTTAAGCAATCACAACAAACTAGAATTGAATATCGAACTCGTTTAAACGCATCAATTGAATGTATCCAATATCTTTTTACACCAAGGACTTGCATTTCATGGCCATGATGAATATGACTATTCAAACAATTGAGGGAACTTTCTTACACTTTGAGATTTCATACTCGTCACAAAGAGAATGTTAAAGCTGTTGTATTGGAAAATGCTCCTAAAAATCTGAAATTAACGTTATATGAGATTTAAAAACAAATTAATAATTACATTGCAACAGAGATCATCAATTTTATTATTATATATATTAGAGATTTTTTTTTCTATTTTAATTTATGAGTCTCATGACATATCAATAAAAGAGCAAATGACTATTGTGTTATATTACATGAAGAATGGGAGTATCATTGAGCATTTTATTGGTATAGTATATGTTACATATATAATTGTTCTCTCACTTAAGGCATCCATTGATAATGTATTTTCTACACATGGATTGAGAATTTATATTCTACATGGAAAATTTATGATGGGGTTAGCAATACGCAAGGCGAGTTCAACAGTCTCAAAACGCTTATTTTGAAAGAGAAAGAATGTGTTTTTTTTTTTTTTTTTTATGTTCATTGCTTTACTCACCAACTTTAGTTGGCTCTTGTTGTTGTGTGAAAGAATCATGACCAACTTTTCACTTTTTTCAAATTTATTGCTAATGTGGTGAATGTAATTGGAGCCTCATGTAAACGTCGTTATATACTTTGAGAGAAACAAATTACTAAAGTTATTGAAAGCTTAATAATGGCAAGTTTTCAAGTGGGCACGGCCTAAATTAGAGTACTTCTCTTATACGTGTGGGAGACACCCGTTGGGGCTCACATAATGGTACTTTAATTAACTTTATTACAATGTTCTCATCTATAATTGATGTTCCTAATATTATCGAAAAGGAAGGATTGAAATCTGATCAAATAGGTGAAACAGCTATTCTACTTGGGTTGATACAATCTTTTAATTTTGTATTCAATCTCCGTTTGATGGAACCAGTGTTAGAAATGACAAATGAATTATCAAAATCACTACAAAGAAAAGATTAAGATATCGTGAATGCCATGTCTTTAGTCAAAGTATGTAAGCAAAGACTACAAGTGACGAGGGTGGATGGATGAGATTCATTACTTGATGAAGTTTCTTCATTTCGTGAGAGATATGGGATTGATGTTCCCGACCAACATGGATGATATGTTCTTTGCTCAGGGACGACCACAACGTAATGTGCAAGAAATGACAAACTTGCATTATTATCGTGTTGAGTTTTTCTATTTTTTATTTTGTGATAGGTATGCAACTTCAAGAGCTAAATAGTCATTTTTAGTGAGGCTAATACTGAGTTACTTGTTGGTGTGGTATGTTTATGTCTAGATGATGCATTCTTTTCTTTTGACAAGCAAAAAATAACTCGGCTTTGTTAAATTTTATCAAAAAGAATTTTCTATAATTAAGCTCAAATAACTTGATAGTCAATTTGAGACTTATATTCTTGATGTACGCTCTAATAGTAGTTTTGAAGGATTGAAAGAGATTTATACTCTTGCAAAAAAAATGGTGGAGTCAAAAAAACACAAGGTGTATCCATTAGTATATTTGCTTATGACATTGACGTTGATTTTACCTGTTGCGACTGTCACGGTGGAGAGGGCATTTTTTGCTATGAATATTGTAAAGAATGAATTGTGTAATTGGCTTCATCCACAAGTTGCTCTTCAATGCTGCAATTTACTATATCTGGTTGGAGAGGAACGCAAGGGCCTTTTGGAACAAAGCTTCTTCCCCTTATCGCATCATTTGCCTCATTAAAAGTTGTGTTCGAGCCAAGCTTGCATCTTTGACACTAAGGGATGGTAGTCATCTCAAAATGGTTGGATCACAGGAGAGCTTATTGCAGTTGTTTTTGCAAGGCTGTTCTTTTGCAGGAGGACAAACATGGTGTCTTGCTTATTAGTTAGTTCAGTGTATCCTTTGTGGGTTTGGTATATTTGATTAGGTTGTTCATGTGGGGGTTTTAACTTGTTGAAGTTGGTGGGTTGTTGTATGTTCTTGGGTTGTATGGCTGCCTTGTGCTTGGTTGTGCCTTTGGGTTGTTCTTGTACATTCTATTTTTATTAATTAAAGCTTACCTTTAATTAAAAAAAAACGATGAGTGATAACTTGGTTGTATATATAGAAAAGATATATTTAAAAGCATGTATAATGACTTTCAAAAAATAAAATCCAGTCGAGGATAGTTCTAATTGTATTCGATGAAAATATTCAATGAAAATAATCGAAATCAATACTTTGTTTCTTATAATTATGCAAGTATCTAACTTTGTTCTTTTCAATTGAATATGATATCAACCTGCAGGGTTCTAAAGTTGAACAATGAATTCTTTTATTTGAATTTTAAAATTCACATTACTGAACCAAAAGTCAACGTACTCAATCAAATAATGGCACTCAAAATTCTCATTCATTAAAACTACATGTAGAAAAATTAGAAGGATGTAACCCATTTCAAGCAAAAAAGAAAAAAAAAAAAAAGAAAAAGAAAAGAAAAGAAAGTTAATCAATCTATAGAAAATAAAAGCAATATGAAAACAAGTCAATTGCAATAAACCAACATATATATCCAAATTAAAAAAAATAAATAAATAAAAAATTAGGAGCAGATTCACTGCTAGAAAAGTTCTCAAAAGCATGTATGCCCAGACTGCAAAAAAAAAAACGAAGTAATTAACCACTACAACAGTTAAAAATAAAGGAACATGGAGTAACAATTCTAAAAGCAAATATTAAGATTGGAAGAAATGTATCAAATGATTTATTGCAATTAATTCTTCCTAGTATGGACTTGAACTCAATGTTGAAACACCACGCTTGAAACAAGACCATTCAGTGAAAGTAGCACACATAATGAAATATTGGTACACATATAGCTCACAATCTATGCAAAACCAAGTACATGAATAACAAACTAAACAGTAATTAGAATTGACAACAACGAGATCACTTTATACTATTATTTTGCTCAAGTATATGAATTATATGAATTCATTGGGTAATAAAATTAAATACACCATGAAATTGTTCTATCAAAAAAATATTATTTTACCTTTTTTATAACATTTGTCATTTTTTATTATCTAAATATTAATTATATTATTTACTTTAATTTTATTATTAGTATAAATTTATCATAAAAATGAAATAAATAAATAAATAAATAGAATTGTAACTATAATTTTTTAAAACTTATTATACTCGGTTTAAACATTTTTACCTTAAAAGATACCTTCTTTTTCATACAATATATTCATAAAAAATTAATAAATTACTTAAATAAAAAATACGTTATTTTTTATGCAATATATTCATGAAAATTTAAGAAATTACTTAAAATTATTTTAAATTTTCTTACTTATTTTTATCTAAATAATTAATTTCAAGAATTAAAGGTGAATTTATACAAATTTAATGAATCATTGTCAATTAAAATGAATTTCTTTCATAATTTGTTGTAATAAAAAATTGAATCAAGTGATTCAATAAGAAAATGACATACTAGCAGGCCAGTGACCAAGCGGTACCAGAGAAAGATAAGGGGTTCAAATCTCGATAGAGGCGTGTGTGTGAGTACTAGGACAAAAAACTAATAATAATAAAAAAATATTGACATTATGAAAAATAGTAAGACATGGAATATTTTGCAATTAAATGGGCTATAATTCATGGTTTGTAAATTCTTGCAACAAAATATGATATTCTTGAAGGAGTTATTTGTAAATTTGGATATAATTAAAGTTTTTTTTTTTTTTAAATTTTTTTTTGGCTATTTATCCTTATTTATTACTCCATTATTTTTATTCTTTAATCTTTTTTCTCTCTCTTCCCCGCACTCTCTCTCCCTCGGATGATTTCTTCCCTTCTCTCTCTCCAGCGGAACCTCCAGCTCACCCCCCTGTATCTCTCTTCGACCACCACTCTCTCTCTCACCTAGGGCACGATTACACTCTCTATCTGGGGAAGGCGACAACTCTCAATCGTTCTCGATCAATCTCACAGATCTCTTTCAATCGCGCGGTCTTCTAATTTTTGGTAAGAGCCGCTATAATATTATGTAATCTCTCTCATGTATGCTCTTTCTCTCTCTCTCTTTGATAATTTTTAAAATTTCATTCGATTTCTTTATTAATATGTATGTTACCATCAACTAAGCAATCATTTTGAAGCATATTTGGCAAATGAGCAGTATGATTTTGAAACCTAACTAGTGTTTGTTGAATAATTTTGAAACATAGCTAGTGGTAGTTGAATAATTTTGAAACCTAGCTAGCTAGTTGTATCATTTAGCTAAAACTTTCTGATATGTAATTACATCTCTTTATTTGTAGAATAATTAGTTTTTTGAAGTTCTTAGTTGAAACTTGAATCTGTGCGGTAGCCTTTTTTTGATTATGGGGTCTGAAAGAAAAACATTTAATCTGTTTGGGGCATATACTTGAGCACTTTGTCTGTTGTTTGTACCTTTAGATGATTGAAACTTAGATGAGAAAAACAGGTTTGAATATACAAACGAGTAATGTTGGAAAGAAGTTTTTATTAGGATTGTAATTGGGAGGCTGTGCTGGTCCTCTTTATGTCCTTCTTGGCCAAGTGTGAGGTCCAGTAATTTCTAACTTCTTTGTCTGTTCGCCCAGGAAGCCTCCTAGCTATCAGAGACAATCTGCACGAATTCAAAAAAACAATTATTAATAATGAATCAAATAAGTTACGTATTTATGAAGCTTACAAATTAAATCATAACAATACTTGAGGACTTTGTCTGTTGTTTGTACCTTTAGATGATTGAAACTTATATGGAAAAACAGGTTTGAATAATGTCTTTGCTGTGTACTAAAACTTTTTTTGGGAAATATATTTAAGATTCTGGAAACTAAGAAGAAAATTTTAATACACATATAAAAGGTGTTATGTGGAAAATGTTTTCCTTTGAAATAAAAAGAGTTTGCGAAGAAAAATTATATAATATCTGTAGGTCAGATACTGCCCTGCATATTAGTTGTTTGAAAAAACTACAGAAATGAAATAGTTGTTTCTGCGGTAATTTAACATTTTCTTTATCAAATTTAGATGCGTGCGCGTGTTTGTTTGTGTGTGAATGTGTGCGTGCCTCATCTTGTACTTGGGAGAATGTAGATCCTACTGGAAATGCAACTACAATTGTTGTGCTAAATTAATACAATTTATTTTTATTTTTTGTATTCCTTTATATAATAAGTAATCATATTAGCAAAATATGTATATATATATATATATATATAGATATATAAAATATAATATAATATAATGGGTATGTTTTAGTATATGTGCTTGTATGGTTTGGTGCTTGGTAAAGGTAGATCCAATTGGAAATTAGATTAGAATTGTTGTATCTGATTAAAACAATTGTTTTGTTGTGTTACTCTTTTCTGTCAATACAAATGGCTATGTGCTAAAATGGATTCAAATTGAATATTGTAAGATTGGAATATATTGAAATATATATTACTTAAAATTACTTGTCTACATGGGATTACTGGACCTTTATTTATTATCACACATTGCTGAAAATAGTTGCTTGACATCCCAATTATTTCTCATGACCCTTGTGGTAATGCCTTTGTTTTCTGATATTTCAATACATTTAAGAGACTAGTAATGGTTCTATTTAGTTGAAAGGACTTGCACATTGTTTTTTTTTTTTTTGATAAGTTGCACATTGTTTTTGATAGTGCAATAGTATTTAAGTGAATAGTAATGGTTCTTTTGTTAGTTGAAAAGACTTGCAATTCATAATTTACTTCGTGTATGTTATTCATTCCCACTGTTCGTTATATCCATTTGCAGGTTGGGGCCTGAGTAATGGACAACATTGTAGACGCATTAAACAATGCATATCAGGAGTTTGTTGCCGCTGCAGCTGGTGTTCTTGAAGCCAAGGAGAGTTCTGGGGGTCAGAAAACAGCAGCTACAGATGCTGCTCTTGAGAACTTCAAGCAACGGTGGGAACTCTTCCGAGTTTCTTGTGATCAAGCAGAGGAGTTCGTGGAATCTGTGAAGCAGAGGATAGGATCGGAATGCCTAGTGGATGAGGCAACTGGCTCAGTGGCTGGGAAACCAGGGCAGGCTGTCTCCACTGGTCTTCCGCCAATTAGTGCAGTTCGGTTGGAACAGATGAGTAAAGCTGTCAGATTGTTAGTGATTGAACTGCAACAGGGTTCTGGAGCTGCGGGTGGATCATCACAATCCCACCCGCAGGCTCCATTTGATGCTAGATTCTCTGAAGATGCGGTTCAATAGGTATGCTTACAAATCTAGTCATGTTAAATTCAATGTTTTATTTTTCTTTGTAATTAATATTCATTTTACTGCATATTAGAACTATTAGGCTTAAGACTGCTACTTATTATATCCCGGTTCATTTTATACTGTAAGTTAGGATATGACTTGCAGTTTTACATCAGAAATGATTAGGGGAAAAAGTTTGAATGCCCAATGGGCTAGTTCAATATTTCCAATTGACTTAAGGATGGTAAGGCCATTTTTTCTTCCTACAGAATCTAGTTTGTCATGGAATCATGTGACCTGCTTATGAAGAGAAAAAAAAAAAAAAAAAAATTTAAATCATGTGAGCTGTTCATTGCTAGAGATAGCTTGTGAAACATCCTATTGCCTTTGTGAATTTTGAGATCTTTGCTACTAGAGAAGATTTAGTGCTACACACAAGAAAAATGGGGGTTCCACAATCTACATGCGAGGTATTTGAAAATTAAACAAACGAATCTCGAGTGAAATTTCATGCCTCCGGGAAAATTCTATAGAAGTAACTAAGCAAGTGATTGTGGAGGTTTGGTGTGGAGAGGCAGAGACTTTAGAGGAGGGTTATTTCTTGTGGATTTGGGGAGGATAGGGTGGTTGGAGTTATCTCGAGGTGAGGATAGGGATGGCAACAGGGTGTGGGTCCTTTAGCAAAACCCCTCTCCCACCCCAGTTTAAGATTTCCTACCCCGCCCTGTTTAGATTTCCACTCAAAATTTTCCCTACTTTTTCCAATCAAATTAAAAAACCCTAACAGAACCCTAAGAACTGAAGTTGATACTTTTAGAATTTAAAAAAAAAAAAAATTAAGAGGAATCCAAGCCCAAAAAGGCTGAGATCGAGTCCAATGCGCAAATCAAACTCCATTAAAATTGTGATACGATGATCTATTGTCTCCCCCCCCCCCAAATGAAGGAATGTATTAAATGTAAGCAAAAGGTACATGGAAACAATGAGGGCATACCCCCATTAAAACACAAAGAAAACACCACTCACCTTACAAAGGCAAAATTAAAAGCAATCTAAACCCAAACATAAACTAGGTAATGTCTTGAAGGCATACCCCCAAGACAACAATAACTTCAAACAAAATACCCTTAGCAATATCTAAAGGTTCTGTAGAAGTATCCTTATATATCCTGTTATTTCTTTCCATCCATATGAAATAAAAAGTAGCAGTAAAAATAATCCTTGCCATCTTGTTTCTCCCTTTACCTTTGGATTTCGAATAAACATGTCAGCCAGCTCTTGAACTGAAATATATCTCTGCAATTGCCATCCACAACAATCTGATAGACTACTCCACACCTTCCATGTGAACTCACAACTGCAAAAAACATGATTCAATGTTTCCTCATAACTTAAACACTGACAGCATCTAGATGCTAGAGAATACCCTTTGCTCTTCATGTAAGACTTGAGTTAAAACAGCATGATGCATCGCTAGTACAGAATGTGTTGACCATCGAGGTCTCCCTCCACTCCAACAGATCCCACTCCACCTAACCTCTTGATTTTTGGTTCTGCAAACCACCCAAGCAGCCTTAAAACTGAAAGTATTCTTCCAAGTCAATACATCCACTCCACCGTATATCTTCTGATTATGGAACACCTGCAGCACCTCCTGAGAAGCATTCATCAAGACCTCATCATTCCATTGATTGTTGACAATAAAGTCACTTAAGCAACACAATTTGTTCCTACTGATATAGCTCAATAATCTGTGATTAAACAACTCCCTATATTAAGTCCAGACCCAATTCTATATCTGCAATTGAGCTTGATTACATCTTTTACTGCAATAATGCTCTTCCATATGGATGAACAAGCAATCTTTGGAACAATATTCCAAAAAGAAGCCTGCTTTAAATAATGCTTTTCAAACCAAGCCACCCAGATTCTGTCCTTAGACAGTAAAAAATCCCAAGCCAAAGTGCATTTTGAAGCTGAATCAATGTCTGCTATTCTTCTTATTCCTAACCCACCTTCTTCTTTAGGAGCAGGTAACTTCTTCCATCTCAGACCATGCATCTTCTTTCTGTCTTCTACATGCCCCCAAATAAAATTCCTCATTCGTCTCTCAATTAAATTTATTACCATAGCAGGTAACGAATAAACCGAGGTCCAATAGAGCACCACAGGAAGAATTACAGCCCTGCTAAGCTCTACTCTCCCAGCCACAGATAAGTGCATGCCATTCCATCTGGTGGTAGTAGTTATAACTTTATCAATCAAGCTAGTACAATCTTGCCTTCTCAGCATCTTATCAGAGATAGGTAAGCCTAGGTAATTAAATGGTAGAGATCCCACCATACAACCCAAAGCCCATATCACTGCAGATCTTCTTCTCACAGACCTGGTAAAATAAAGTTCTGATTTATCTTTGTTAACAGCAAGTCCAGAGAGTTTTTCAAAGTGCACCAAAGTTCTTTTCAAGCATAAGACAGTAGCCATATTAGCTCTGACTACCATTAGCAGATCATCTGCAAAGAACTGGTGTGTGATAGTTAAACCAGCTTTAATAACCGAATCTGAAGGAATAATTGTACCACTCTTAACCTCAGCATCAATCATACCTGAAAAGTATTCAGTGACCAGAGTGAAAAGAAGGGGGGGATAATGGACAACCTTGTCGAAGCCCTCTTTCAGGCTGAAAAAATCCATTAGGAGAACCATTAATAATGATTGAGAACCAAACAGAGGATAAAAACACTTAAATCCAAGCAATCCAAGTATTTCCAAAGCCAAAGAGCCTCATTACATCTAACAAAAATGACCATTGTACTGTATCATACGCCTTCCTCAAATCAATTTTCCATGCTAATGTTGGTTTTGCTCTCTTTGCACCAAACCCTCACATTAGCTCATGTGCCATAATAATGTTGTCCTGAATCTTTCTTCCTTGAATGAAAGCATTTTGCTCTTTATCCACAATCTTCCCCAACACCTTAGCAAGTCTATTTGCCAAAATCTTTGCAATGACATTATAAAATACATTACACAATGATATTGGCCTATAATCACCCACCTTGAGTGAATCTTTCTTCTTTTGTATCAAAGTAATGAATGTACTATTAGTCCCTCTTCCCAATTCTGGATGGGAGAAAAATTGCAAAACAGCGTCAGTAAAATCTTCACCAACAACTTGCAAGTCTTTTGGCGGATGTTGTCTTCCCCCTTTCTTCTCTTCATTAACTCTTATTACATTCCAATCCCCCAATAAAAGCCATGGCCCATCAATAAGCTGAGCACTATCCTGAAGATCTTTCCACAAGGCTTTCCTTTCTCTATCAGTATTCTTAGTATACACAAAAGTCACAAAAAATTTATTATTAGACCCTCTAACCTGTACCTGCAACAACATCATCTGATCTCTAGTCTGTAATACTGAAACATGAAGTCTCAATGGATCCCAGCCACACCAAATTCTTCCACCTACATCAGCTGAATAATTATTATCCCAACTCTAATTATTCCTAATTCTGTCTTTCAACGTCTGGAACTTACTACTATTGACCCTAGTTTCTACCAAACCACATAACACAATCGAGGAGTCACTCAACCAGGCCTTCACTTCTTTCTGCATTGCCAGCCTATTGAGACCTCGAACATTCCACAATCCTATCATTTAGACAAAGAAATTGGTGGAATCACCCCACCTGCAATCATACCTCTTGTGACTCTAACCAAACTAGGGTCAATCTTTACCTCCTCCTTTTTATTCTTCTTTTTCTGCTTCTTTGAAGAAGAAGTACCTCCCTCTGGTGATGCTGGAACCCCCACCTCTGTCTCTTGCGCTAGATTTTGCACTTTATCCTTAATCTGGAGATCACCTTCAGCAGCACACTCTTGAATATTTTCCACAGATAGAACATCTACCTCATTACACTTTTCAATCTCTATTGCACGGTCTGACTTAGGATCCCCTCCCTTCTCTCTCTCAGTTAATTCATCAAGAACTTGAAATGCATTCAAGGAGACCACTTGTAACTGTGATTCTTGAGACACTGCCTTTACTTTGCCTTTCGATTTTCTTTGCACTGTAAAGCCATCCACCTCCTCAATCATCTCTCTTACAGGACTCAAAACATCCTTGTCCCCCTCTGAGATACCCTTATCACTAATATTCTTCTTGGATACTGCCATGTTCTCCTTTTCGGGTTTTTTCACCACCCACTTCTCCTTAGGTTTTAGAAATTCTAATCTTGTTTAATGGACACAGACTCTTATTATGATCCATCTTCTTGCACAGACCACATATTTGAGGCTTCCATTCATATTCAACTTGTACTCTACAAGGTAGCCCATGCAACGTTGTGTTAATTACTTCTGGGAATTTACCATCCACCTCCATCTCTGCCAAAACTCCTCTCTCTACAAAGAGCAATATCATCCATATATATATAGGTTTAGCAATGTTTGACACCACTTTGGAAACTGAAGTTCCACTTCGAGCATGAACTGGAAGGTCATACACCCTCATCCATATGGGGACGGTGGCTAAGATATCACGCTCCAATTGTATTCTCTTATGCCATTTCTTCACGATGATAGCTCTACCTTGGAACGTATGAAATCGAGATAGAACTTGTAACAGATCATCCTCAGAGGGAAATCGGACCTGGAAAAACCCATCCTTCATCGACACTACCACTGCATCCTTATTCCATCTTTTCTGAACATATGATTTGAAGTAGGGGAAGTAGGCTTACTTCCCAAGACGTAACATACCACAGAATTCGCCCAGAACTGTAACTCTTCAGCGATATCTTCATCTTCAATAACCACACACTCCTTATTCCGATTCTCGCTGTAATAAGTTAATGGCGTAAAGCCATTAGACGTAGAATTCTGGAGTAAAGAACTCCATGAGGGGCGACGCGATGGAGAGGAAGGAGCATGTACACTACATAAAAAATCTAACTCTATGGGAATAAACTTTTAGATACAGAAATATATACATACACAACAACATATATGATTATATATGTGTGTGTGTGTGTATATATATATATATATGTGGAGAGAGAGAAATTTGAACCAGATTTAATGGCTCCAGCGAAAGGGTTAGAGAGAAGATAGAGCAAGAAATACTATAGAAGGGGGAGGGACAAAGAGGACATTGACGGGAGCAAGATGGTGGTCGGCGAGGCTGATGGTGAGACCGTGAGGATGAGGATTAAGGATTCTGGGAGTCTCTACAACTGATGATGTGAATGTTTTAGTAGTGGAGGTGTTATTTATATATAAAGAATATATTCCCCTGCTAGTCCGGTAGACGAAGGTTTGTATTTGTAACTTTGCAATATAAACGGGGCGGGGTGACCTTCCCCCGCCCCAAACCTGCACGGGTTTTTACCCCTAAAACCCATCCCTACCCAAATCCCATAAACGGGCCTCCAAAACCGGTTTAAACGGGGCGGGGTAAATTTCCATTCCTAGGAGGGGTCGGTGTTTGGAAATTCACCAGGAAGGAGTGGGATGAATTCTCTGAACACATCAGAATTAGGGTGTGGCAGCATCCTCTGCTTTTGGGAGGATACTTGGTGTAGTGACCCTTCACTAGCGCGCATCTTTCCTAGCCTTTTCCAGATTGCTCTGGCTAGGCATGCATTTTCGGGAGGACGCCGGCGGCATCTTGGAGTTGCCATACTGGTAGGAGCTAGATGGTGGAGGGTCTGATTTATGATTCTGGGTGCCGTCTTCTCAGGAGAGGTTTGACGTTCGCTCTTCTTATAGGTGCCACTCGGAGGTTCCAGCGATTTGGCGCACCAACGCTCCTCTTAAAGTGGCCTTTTGTTGGGTGGACGACACTTTTGGGCAGGATCCTGACGTTGGATAACCTAAGAAGGAGGAGACATGTTGTTGTCGACTAGTGCTGCATGTGCAAGAGAACTGAGAAGTCGGTAGATTATCTCCTTTTCCATTGCCCAGTGGCCCAGGACAATTGGGGTTTGCTTTTGAGTTTTTTTGGGGGTCAGTGGGTTTTGCCTTGATCCTCGAAAGGCATGATTGAGGCATGGAGAGGTTGTATAGTAGGTTCCTAAGTTCGTGATTTTGGAGTGTAGCGCCCTTGTGTGTTTGGTTGTGCTTGTGGAGGGAACGGAATAGGATATCATTTGATAGCGAGGAGTCTCCTATTGGGACGCTGAAATTCTCTATTATGAACTCGGGAAAATTGTAAATCCTTGGGGGAGAGATTTGATTTGTTTGGGATATAATGAGCGTTTAGGGGCCTTATTTAGTTCTTGTGTAACTTTTGCGGGATGCGTTCTCCTTTTGAACACCTATTGACATCCTACTTATTAAAAAAAAATATTCCGTAGAAGTATTGGTAGACATGGTAACGGAGTGCATTTATAAATTAAAGATCCCAAAAATAATTTGTTCCAAGTCCACAGCTCAAGAAAGCCTCTAACTATTTGGGGATGTTTATGTGAATTCTTTTCGTCATTCTGTTTTATCCAACACCCTAACCTTAGTTAAATGACATGCTATCTTATCTTTCCTAGCCACATGATTTATTGTTCCAGTATATGCATTAAAAGCTCTCTCTTTTAAATGTCTCCATTTTATCTCACAACAAATGCACCCCATTAGGCAAGGAGGGTGGCATTCTATTATTGACCCTTATTTTTCAGTAATTTCCACTCCAACATCATATCAATAATTAAGCCAGGCATCACCCACACAGTCTCAATCAAGGACAGAATAAGACCCCAAAACTTCCTTGCCACTATGATGCAATGCAAAAGATTATTAATGGTTTTCTCCATCCCCTTGCACATTGTTGAGAAACAAAAGATAAATTAAACATGAAGGACTCAAGAATATAATGGGGTTTGGCCACTACGGCCTACATCCACGGCACACAAAAGGGCTACGTCTACCCTGCCTATGACCCCGCTTTGGGTTTTTTTTTGGGGGGGGGGGGGGGGGGGGTAGCAAGCTTAGTAGTTTTTCCGTTTTAGTTTGGTCTTGCTGTGCAAATAGAGTATAACGATTAAATGCACAAAACAACAGAGAATGCAAAACTGAAAAGTTAAGGAGATAGAGTTAGAGAGATGCAAACTTAAGAACACCAAGATTTACGGGTTTTGGCTACCCTGCCTATGTCCTCGCCTCAAGAGTACCTCTTGAGGATTCTTAAATCACTCTCTCGCTTCTCCTTGATAGGGAGAAGAAACCATTACAGTCTCTCTTCACAGGTCGAAGATGACCTCTACAGTGCTTCGGGAGCTGTCATTGCTAAGTGAGCAACATCCACCCAGACTTCAAGAAGATTATACCAATCTTCTGACCTCTCTCTCTCGTATATATATATCAGCTGCAGGCTTGCAGCACAACAATGGCGTCCCTTTTTCTAAACTGATTTTACAATGAAAACTCATTGCATTAATCTCCCAAAAGATATCTCTAAATAGAATAAGCAAGTGAAATTTATCAAAAAAAAAAAGAATTTTTTTTTGAATAAGCAAGTAAAAAAAATTACTAATGAGCCAGTGGCCTAGCGGTATCAGACCTTTAGTTCAAACCTCAGTGGAGGCATGTGTGTGTGAATATCAACTAAGAAATAAAAAAAAAAAAAAAAAAAGTGATGAAAACTCAACTTCTAGATGATGAATGATTTCATTATTAAAGCTCAAGTTTTTAGAGTGATGGTTGTTAACTTGGTATTAGAGTATGCAAGGTCTTGTGTTCAAACTTTACGGACCCTGATAATTAAATTTGAAACACGTGTTGGACCGAAAAAAGACCGCACTTAAGGACCAAAAAAAGACCGCACTTATTAAAGCTCAAGTTTTTAGAGTGATGGTTGTTAACTTGGTATTAGAGTATGCAAGGTCTTGTGTTCAAACTTTACTGACCCTGATAATTAAATTTGAAACACGTGTTGGACCAAAAAAAGACCGCACTTAAGGGGGCGTGTCGAATGATTTAAATATTGAAATTACACCCTCTCTAACAACTTAAGCTTTTAGAGTAGTGGGTTGTTAACACTAGAGAATAGAATCAAAGATCTCTTTGATTTTAAATGGAGTATTGGAGATCTAAGATTGCTCTATGGTTTCCCCAAAACAGTTTTTGCTTTTTGAAAAGATTTCAAAATGTTGCGCTCAAAAAGCTTTTCAAAAATTTGCACAAATGTTCTTCAGTACAGAATTGATACCAAAAGGGTGAAGGAACCTCGTATTTATAATCTCAGCTGAAATTCTAGCTGTTAGAGTAATTGTGAGACTGTTTGGAAATAGAGCTATAAAAAGCGCGACATAAGAAGACGTCTTGTGCTTTTAACCAGACGTATAGTTCTTTCAATCTGTTCTGGCGCGTTCCTGTTCCTTACTCTTGTAGACATCTTGTCTTTTTAACTAGACGTTTTGTCCTCTCAAGGCTCTGTGATTTTAATTATATAATGCTAAAATAATTAAGTCAGAATAGATGTAGAAACTTGAATTTTTTATTTTTATTTTGATATTGGTTGGTTGGTTAATTAGTTCGAAAAGTGGCACTTTTGGGCACAAAAGCCAGAGAATTATTTAGGGTTCTAATATTTTGTGGGAAGGATTTGATGATTTCTATATGCAGTAGTCTCCCCTAGTTTGTGTGGCAAGTGATGGAGACATTGGGAGCTTGGGGAGACCAAGAAGAGATCCGGTCGAACTGTGTGAGATCGGGATATTGTGATACGGTTGTAATTGATCATGTTGTCGTAACTCTATGTGAGACCTTGGTCATGATCACATTGACGAATTGTGTGGGAGTCCAGATGATTTATAGTGCACCTGTTATTGGTTAAATGAGCTCATATTGGTGGTGTGAGATAAGTGGTTCATGGGGTAAAAATTGTGATCGGATAGAGATTGTGTACTCTCTTGGTTGTATTGTGTGGCTTGATCAAAGTCATATAAAGCGGGTGCGGGAGTGCGAAAGTGGCAAAAATTTAAGTCAAGTGAGAGGGAACGACAGCGAGAGAGACACCTGTTTGGAAGAATTATGTGACTTAGGGCTTGATAGGCTAATGTTGGATGTGTTATATCATGGTTGTAAGTGGCTTAGAGTAAGGCGTAGGTTTTGGGTAGTGGCATAGGTTGGGTCATAACTTAGTGTTATGCAAAGTGTAATTAAACTTTCGTTTAAGCACATGTAGTTATAACATTGAAATTGACTAAGTAATGTCAATTGATATTAATGATTTAATTAAATATTTACAATATATGACATATTGGATCATGTTGATATATGGTAATTATTGTCGGTTAATTAGAATGTTGGTTACTGGATTTTTCCAAGCTCACCCCCCCTTTCTCACCATTTCAGGTGCAGACCGGTTTGGTACGTGGAAAAGCACATGATTTATTTTTGGCATGACTCATGAGTGATCATGTAGCAAGAATGGCCATGTAATAGAGATGAAATTTTATTAGTCGATATTGATTTATTGTAGGTTTAATTATAATGAATTATATTTTAGTTGGTAATATTTTTTGGCATGACTAATGAGTTTTGAATGTTAAAGTGAAGTCATGCGCACTGAATTTAAGTATAGGACTAGTGATATTGTATTTAAATTTAGGGGCGACAATAATATATATATATATATATATATATATATATATATATATATATATATTGGATGTGGCGTGATAGTCTAGTGGTAGGAATGTGTTACTTGTGGTTAAAGACTCAGGTTCGAATCTTCACTCTATCCGTCAATATTAGTAAATAACTATTTAATTAAATTATATATATATATATATATATATATATATATATATATATAATTGGTGTTGGATTGAATTAATCTAAGAATATGAAAATACTTAGACGTAAGAAAACCTCATCTTGTAAAGACTCGAAGTCCCATGCTCCATTTGAATCAAACCACCTAGAGGTGAGTTCCTAGAAAATTGCGGACTTTGAGTTCCTAGAAAATTGCGACTTGGAGCCACTCTATGACCAAACATTTGGGTAGGTCCATTTGCCATGCGTTTTATTTCTGTTTTTGTTTTTGGACCGCATCTATTTTGGTAACAAAAGCATGTTTGGTGCGATCTTATTTTATTTTATACAGTGTTAAAACACTTCGTGAATAGTGTTTAAAATCAAAATACCAAAAAGTTATTTTATTTTATTTTATCTTGACAACTGTTCAGTGTTCATGGCCCAAAACCATAATAGTAGTGCAACATGGGCTCGATATTTCTATAACAAAACATTGTTCCCAATTGTGCGTGCGATTTTTTTCCAAAGCACTCTTACAGTAAAAATATTGTTTCTGTTCTAGTCAAAAAATAAAACGCATAAAATAAAGTACACGCCAAACGGGCCCTAAATTGACCTCCACACCAAGGGTCCGGAAATAAAAGAAATGAAATTTCATTCCCAAACTTTTGTGTAATTTTAGAGGTGATCAGAACCATCATTTTTGAGCCATTTAGTTTGGTACGCTTGAATTTTTTTTTTTGTCAGATAAATGGTGAAAATTAATTTGCATGGTCTGCCCAATCCACTTAAATAGTTGGTTTTTCTTTTAATTATTATTTTTATTTAATGTAGATAAGAGGATTAAAAAATATCTGTTCAATTCACTTAAATAGTTGGGCTGCGTTTTCCAAGTGTTTTAGAACCTTCTAACCTGATCAAATTTTAAAAGTTGATATGACTTTGTAATGCATCGAATTTTAAAAGTTGTCCAACATATGTGGATCATGACCGATCAAAGTTAAATAAATTGGATTTTAACATTTCACATACTATAATGACTCCTTATATTACAACTTTATATTAGGCGGTGATTCCACATTGTTTTGGCAAATATTACCGTGTTACTAACTACAATTTGTTTCTTTTAAAATTTTCATGTTCTCTTGTAATTATTATTTTTTATTAGAAAAAAATACATTCAAATACCCACTTATTCACGTGGAGTTTAAACTTCCCACCTTTTCCATTGACAAAGTTTAATGACAATTTTTTTTTATGTTTTTATTTTTATTTTCTCGACTTTAAATTTTATTTTCTAGTATAAATTGATTTATAAAGTGTTTACTTTATTTCCATTTTTAATTTTGTACTTGTCAACATGACTAAAAAAATAGTGAATCTATACGTGTAAAACTTAAAAAGAGAGAAATAAAGAAATATTGAATGGATTAGATATATTATTTACTGAACAATAAATATTTAGAATACTTGAATGCAAAATTTTAATCAGCAATTTTGCATCTGGAGCATTTTCTCTGATTTACTGTGCGAATCTCAACTTATTTATTTATTTATTATTATTATTTTTTTGTGTTTTTGTCATTGCATGGTTTTCTATGCAAGTCCAAAAGGAAAGGAGATTCGAATATGGATAAATCTGTTTGAAGAGCTAAACATCCAAAACACTTCAAGTGAGACACCAATTTCGATTTGCACAAGTTTTTTTATTATTTAAGTGGGGGCTGACACCACAAACTCTATTAGGAAGCCCAGAGAGCATGCGGGACTTAGGCCCAAACCAAAGCACCAATGCTTCAAAATCCTGAAGGCCCACTAGCAAGAACAAAGAATAAAAGTTTTTTTTTGGATAACTCGGGATGTCGCTTCGCCCCAACTAATTCTTGAGAATCAGGAAGGACGTCTCCGCACCTCGAATCGGGTAAGTGGCTGAGTATAACAGCGGATGCGTGGCCCCAACTCCCAAGTATAAACTCGTAATAAGAATCAAACTTAAGACCTGGTGCTAGGAAGGCACCAAAGCCCAAGTGATTTTATCACTAGGTCAATCCCTCGAGGTTACAAAGAATAAAAGGTTGGGCCGATGCGTTTATCTAAAAATTTTGAGACTTTATCACGGGTAATACTCTTGGATAAAATTTGAGTGAAAAAGTTTAATGTTTTGTTTGGAAGCATGAATCGATGTCTTAGATTTAGGATCGAAAAAAATTTAATTCAAAATTTATATTAAATAAATTTATTTTCATCTTAAATTTAAGACACGAATTCAATGTTACCAAACATATCATAAGGATCCATGATGTGCCCATTGACCATGTTCGGTTAAATTCAGGAGTCCAAAAGAGTGATCAATATACAAGAGGACAAGTGGGAGAAGGCTGTTTTTTGGTTATCCATTTCTCTTTATGTCGTAGCCTTTACTTTTTGTACGCTATATTGCTTTGTCAATAAAGCAACTTAACCTTTTTGTACACTTTACTGCTTTGTCAATAAAGCAACTTAACCTTTTTCAACCCCCTCTTTTACGACTTATATGCAAATTTATTTTTGTACAAATTTCTAAATATTTGTATGAAGAAGAGTGTTTATCAATAAGATCTTTGTTCTAAATGATTTTTTCCCATAGAATTTATCTCAACTATTTGGTGTGAAAAGTATTCACTACGTGTCATCTTAAAAGGCCGATTTCATTCTTACTATGGGTGTGATAAAATGGGTCATGACCCCACCAATCCGCTCATATCTATTTATTTTAAAATAAATATGGATAAATCATTTTAAAATATGAGCTAAAATGAATTATCCATATTCAATCTATTTTTATAGAGGGTTAAATGGGTTGAATATGGTTCACCCATTTTGACCAATATTTCACTTATTATATAAGAAACCCAGTTTCACAACTTCTATTTGACTTAAATTCATCTATTTTTTTTTTTTTTTTTTTTTTAAATTCTCCAAATTCTCTTTCTCCACCACTATCTCTCTCTAAAATTCTCTCTTTAAGATTCTCTCTGCATCATGGACTCCTCGTGTATGTAATAGTACGGTTCAAAAGAAACCTATATTTATATCTGTATTTCAAAATAGAACGGCTCGATTTATTCATTAAATTATTTATTCTACATACATACATACATACATATATATAATATCTTACCTTCATGCATGTCTAGTCACAAAATAAAATAATATAAATTTAAAGAATTTTCAAAATAATTTAGAGAATTTACAATTATCCATACATATTTTTACAAGTTTTTATCCGTATAAAATAAAAAATATAATAATTGCTATATTTATATATATATATGGTGTTGGGTCCACTATTTATGAAAATTTGGAAGAAATGGAATTAGTAGCATGACCCACTGTTGAGAGAATTTGGTACGCAGGTTTGAATTATGTGTATTGGTTCATTGTATATATAATGTCGTAGGTGTGACTGTGAACACATTAAATAAATACGTATAAGCAAGTTGTTTTTTTAGTTTGCTTTGTAAGCTTGGCTTATGGCTTTATATATATATGAGTATTGGTGTGTATCCGAGATATATAGGAAAAAAACCAAAGCAAATAAAGAAAGTTTTCTTTCTTTACATTCTATCCTCTCTCTCAAAGTTCTTTGTTTTGATATTTTTGTTTATATTAATTAATATTTATATAACAATAATGAGATTATCCAAAATAATATTTTTTTTCTTCTTAAAACGGGTTGGCAGACCATGACGGGTTGACTCGATTCATTTTCACCTAACTCATGTTTAATCCGTTACAAACGAACTATAGATCACAGCTCATATCCAATTCACCCATATTTGATCCTGATCAAACCCGACCCAACCTGTCCGTCTGCCATTCCTAATTTTTACTACCGATTGTATTATTACTGGAATAAGCTATTCTATATCACAGGTCTCTAACACAATGTAACTGTGTAACATCACATTGTTTTTGGGCAGTTTCCCAGAGTATGTGTAGCATCACATTGTTTTTGGGCAGTTTCCCAGAGTATTATGAAAGAGCACCTCACCCAACTTGCAATTCAAGGCCTTGTTCATAAACTCATGAACTAACCCTTTTATTTGCATAAAACTTCATAAATTATAATTTTTGCAAAATAACACCTACAACTATCAAGTATTTTTTCAAAAACACCCTTGCCTTCTTTATAATTTAAAAGGGGGAAAAAAAATGCAAAAGAAAGTCAACGGGTGACTTGTATAAATTGTTAAATTTCAAATTACCCTCCTTGTTCTTTCCCATCCCCACACTTCCCATAGGCAGAAAGAAGGTAAATTACACCGATCTCTCCTGAAATTTGAATAAATTACACACGGTACTCTATTTGGCGTTGATTACTTTGACCTTTTATAAGATTTGACAGGTGTGCTCAACAATACCCCTAATGTTTAGAATGTTCTAAATTGCAAAGATTCATTTTCGGAAAAAAAAATGCAAAATTATCTAAGCTAAGACCATAAATTTAGCTAATCTTGCCAAGTTGAAAAAAAACCCTGCAATTCAGAAGCACCAAATACTAAAACATTGCCTCTTCTTCCAAATACATATAAAACATTAGGGGTATTGTTGAGCACACCTCCCAAACATTGCCTCTTCTTCCAAATTCATACTAAAACATTGCCTCTTCTTCCAAATACTTGCAATTCAAGGCCTCGTTCATAAACTCCTGAACTATGCCTTTTATTTGCATAAAACTTCATAAATTATAATTTTTGCAAATAACACCTACAACTATCAAGTATTTTTTAAAAAACACCCTTGCCTTCTTTATAATTTAAGGGGGGGGGGGGGGGGGGGGGGGGGGGGAATGCACAAGAAAGTCAACGGGTGACTTGTATAAATTGCTAAATTTCAAAATTACCCTCCTTGTTCTTTCCCATCCCCACACTGCCGGTTAATTACACCGATCTCTCGATACTCTGTTCAGTGTTTATTACTTCGTGCTAAATTGCAAAGATAAATTTAAGGGAAAAAAAATGCAAAATTATCTAAACTAAGACCATAAATTTAGCTTATCTTGCCAAGTTGGAAAAAAAAAAACCCTGCAAATCAGAAGCACCAAATACTAAACATTGCCTCTTCTTCCAAATACATATATTAGCACTTCACTAGAAATGCAAGCATACATTGTATTTCAAATTAAGGTCATATATACTACTAGGACCTCAAAATGGAAACTACATCACAACTACATGAACCATATTACAAAGGGGATGGAACCCATACAAGATTATCTGCCGGGAAGAAATGGCAAACAGGTGAGCTTCCTGGTTCGGTACCGAGCACACGGAACGCCACATGATCGGGGTCCCATTGAGAGGTATCCATATGGCAAATAGAGAGAGCTTGGAGCACTCTATCAGCTCCATTCTCACCACCTAGCACAACCTCAAAGAGCTTATTATCACTCTCTTGACTGTGGCAATAGAACACTGCATAAGGGTAAGGCATGGCATGGCATGCCACAATTTTAGGGGCTGAGATCTCTTTGGGCACTTCCAAAATAGTATAGTTTTGAAAAGGGGCTGTAGGATTTGTGAGGTGGTTGGTTGTCAGAACTTTGAAACGTGTCTCCAATCCGAACACACCACGTGTGGAATCGAGCAGGGACTCCAACGAGGTAGCACAGAACTTGGTCTCTCCTTTGATGGGTTGAGTTTCACAGTGTCTTAGTGTGCCTTCCATGGCCTTGGCTTGTGGGGAGTGTTTGGAGAAGGAGAAAAATTTTAGAAGGAATGGAAGTTTTGATAGCGAGAAAGGAATGGAATCAGTTTCTTCTCTAGGCAATAGATGAGGGGTTTTAGAAGGGTCTCTATTGGGGAAATAGATGGACAATTTTTTCCCCACTTTTAGATCTTTAAGAGTGAAGAAGATTTTCTGAGAAGGCTCTATATGATCCATGTGGGATGGTGATGGATGATCATGCCCATGATCCATAGCATCTACATGCATGCCTTTATGGCCATCATCATGGTCTTCCTCTTGCTCACCAAATATTTTCAGATGGTCATCCATGTCATGCTTCAAATTATAGACCTTTTTGTCAGCAACTTTCCGGTGTCCTCCGGCAATCTCCAAGTCTCTACGTCCATGGACACACTGTCATAAACCATCGCGAAAACTTGTTAAAAATACTGAACCATCTGCAGCAAACCAACTCAAAATGATCTTTTAAAAAAAAAATCCCTAGCAAATATATATATATATATATATATATATATATATATGCATATGAATTTGAAGAACACAGAAATTACCATTAGAACAAATAGAACATAAAGGAGGAGGCTGCAAGGAGCAAATATGGAACGCATCTCTTTGTTTTCTTTGTACTTCTTGATCTAGTTGGTTCTGTCTTCTGGTTCAGTATGAGGGGATAAAGATATCAACTCAACTAGTTTTAAACTAGCATGGGAAGTGTTTTTTTAATGCTAATTAATAATTTTTTATATATATTTAATTGAGCTTCACATGATGCAAAAATTATTTTTGGCATATTTAAATATTTAATGAGTAAAAAGTCAAGCACCTCTCGAAGCTTTGGGTGGGTCACACAAATTAATGCATCACTTAATATTTGTCAATTTGACGACAAATGCATTTCTATTTGATATAAATTTTATGGTTTGCTTTTATCGGTCCCTTCTATTGAGTGGTGACCTCAGAAAGCACAGACTTATTTTCTTTCCTTTTCCTCTTGTCCCATTCATGGAGAGTACTATTTCCACCAAAAGGTCATTGTGCAAATCTGATGTCTAAAAGTCAAACACGCAAAAGCAATTTTTATTATGATTTATATTTAGATTTAAATTTAGGATAGAATTAATTTTCAGTAGTAGGGTGCGTAATCAATCATGTGTGTGTCATCTGTTCTCGGCCGTTTTCTCCAAGTGCATACTTGACAGGATGTAATTCTTCTACGTAATGCATTCTTACTTGTCATCCCAAATTGGACTTTTATCCTTATTTATCATTTTATATTATTAGACCTCCTTAGTCACCTTACCACTTCAAATTATTAGGCGTCCGTTCAAAGGTGACAAAATGGTAATATATATATATATATATATATATACTATTCTAAAAATGTAACTAAAAAATCTATATCTATATCTATATATATTTATCTATATTTATATTTATATTTTTTATACTAAAAGTGTAGTTAATTTCGTAATATTTTTAAATTTTTTAAAAAAACAAAATTATTTCATTAAATACTAAACATTAAATCGCCTTATGATTCATACAATTTTCAATTTTTCTTTATAAAAATTCGACGTGTCATTAAATCACCTTATTTAACTCTCACAACTAAAAAAAAAAAGAAAAAGAAAAAAAAAATGTAAAAGGAAAATAAAACACACATTTTTTGTTTCTAAAATACACATTCACTCCACTCCAAACATTTTTGCTAAAAAAAGAGAAAAAAATATGTAAAAGTAAAATAAAACACACTTTTTTTTTTGTTTCTAAAACATACATTCACACCACTTCAAACATTTTTGCTTATTTTAAATTTAGAAATATTCTAAAAGTATAGCTAATTTCTTGACATTTTTAGATTTTTAAAAAATACAAAATTATTTCATTAAATACTAAACATTAAATCACCGTATGATTCATACAATTTCCAATTTTTCTTTATAAAAATTCGAATGACGTGTCATTAAATCACTTTATTTACCTCTCACAACTAAAAAAAAATGTAAAAGGAAAATAAAACACACCTTTTTTGTTTCTAAAATACACATTAGCTCCTCTTCAAACATTTTTGTTTATTTTAAATTTAGAAAAATTGTTAACATATATATTAACTATAATGATTCATAATGTCTATATAAATGTTACAACACTTTAGTTTCTTGTCATCACGTGTAATTTAAATTTTACGATATAACCATTCCAAATGAAAAATCTTTTAATTTTCAGTTATTACATTTGATTGAGAGTCGATACAAACGCACCAAAATTATCTACCAATTTATTTTTAATTTATTTTCAATTTATTTACAACCATTCTGAGTCATATAATTTCCAAATTTTATTTATTAAAAATCTCAATTTTACGTATCATTAATTCACTTTATTTAACTCTTTCAAATAAATAATACTCCTTAGTAAGGAAAAAAAAAACATAAAAAGAAAAAAAAAAAACTATAATATTCCCACTATTTAAAAATGAACAGTTGCTTTCACAAAATTTCCTCCCAAAAATTCTAAAGCCTAATTCACACTATTCCAAACAAAACAAAAAATTGTAGAAGAAAAAAGAAATGTACCCTATTTGTTTAAAAACAAAAACAAAATTAAAAATATTCACGCAACAAAATGAAAATGAAAAAGAAAAACGTAAAAAAAAAAAAAAAAAAAAAAAAAAAAAAAATCATACATTTTTGTTTTTAAAACGCATGCCACCCCACTTCAAACATTTTTCCTTAATTTAAATTTAAAAAAATTATTAACATATATATTAACTACATAATAATTCATAATGTCTCTATAAAGGTCACAACCCTGTAATTTCATGCCATTAAGTGTAATGATTTATTTCTTTTTAAATGTTACGATATAATGTTACAACTTTTTAATTTTCTGCCATTACATTTGATTCAAAGTCTCTCCAAATGCACCAAAATTATCTTCCAATTTATTTTCAATTCATTTACAACCCTTATGATTCAAATAATTTTCAATTTTTCTTTATAAAAATTCTAATGATGTGTCATTAAATCACCTTATTTAACTCTCACAAATTAAAAATAAGAAGAAAAAAAACATAAAAGGAAAAAAAAAAATATTCCCACTGTATAAAAAGGAACCCATTCCTTTCCAAAATTCTAAAGCCTAATTCACATTATTAAAAAAAAAAATGTAAAAGGAAAAAAAAAAGTACCATATTTGTTTAAAAACAAAAATAAATAAATACATGCAACAAAAAGAAAAAAAAAATACATTTTTAATAAAAATTCTAAAGCCTAATTCACATTATTCCAAACAAAACAAAAAATTGTAGAAGAAAAAAAAAATGTACACTATTTGTTTACAAACAAAAACAAAAAAAAAAAAAAAATTCACGCAACCAAATGAAAAAAAAAAAAAAAAACATACATTTTTGTTTTAAAAATGCATGCCTACCCCACTTCAAACATTTTCGCTTAATTTAAATTTTAAAAAATGATTAACATATATATTAACTATATAATGATTCATAATGTCTCTATAAAGGTTACAACCTTTTAATTTCTTGCTATTAAGTGTAATGATTTATTTCTTTTTAAATCTTACGATATAAATATTACAACCCTTTAGTTTTCTACCATTACATCTGATTCAGAGTCTCTCCAAATGCACCAAAATTACCAACAGGCCAGTGACCTAACGGTATCAAGCTCCTACTTTCAAAAGAGAGGTCAGGGGTTCGAGTCTCGGTGGAGGTATGTGTGTGTGAGTATCAATTAAGAAAAAAAAAAAATGCACCAAAATCATCTTCTAATTTATTTTCAATTCATTTTTAACCCATATGATTCATATAATTTCCAATTTTTCTTTATAAAAATTCTAATGATGTGTCATTAAATCACTTTATTTAACTCTCACAAATTAAAAATATGAAGAAAAAAAACTATAATATTCCCACTACTTAAAAAGGAACCCATTCCTTTCCAAAAATTCTAAAGCCTAATTCACATAATTCAAAAAAATAATAATGTAAAAGGAAAAAAAAAGTACCATGTTTGTTTAAAAACAAAAATAAATAAATACATGCAACAAAAAGAAAAAGAAAAAAAAAAACGCCAAAGGGAAAAAAAAAATACTTTTTTTTAAAAAAAAAATTTAACTCTCACAAAAAATAAAAAAGAAAAAGAAAAAAACGTAAACGAAAATGAAAAAGAAAAAGAAAAAAACGTAAACGAAAATGAAAAAAAAAAAAAAAAAAAAAACTATAATATTCCCACTATTTAAAAAGGAAACCATTCATTCCCAAAAATTTTCTCCCTGCAAATTCTAGAGCCTAATTCACATTATTCTAGACAAATAAAAAAAAATGTAAAAGAAAAACAAAAGTACAATTTTTGTTTAAAAATATTATTAATAGTATTTTTAAATTATGTGACAGTTCATTATTCACAAAGTTTCTTAATAGATATTTCTTAAATTATGTGATGGCTCATTATCATAAGGTATGTCTTGTGAGTTACCCTGAATCTAAATAGTTATTTTCGCAGTTACCAAGGTAATGAAACACATCTATTTAGATGAGATTACAATCCTGTTAAAACGATGCATTACTGCCTTTTATAGCAATTGTGGTGAGAGAGTGCACGAGGTGGGTATGACAATGACAAGCAAAGCGTCAATGCTTACTATAATGAATTCGGCATCCTCATTCTTCTTCCATTTTTCATAGTTCAATTCCAACAATTTCTTTTATATATATATATATATATATATATATATATATATATATATATATATCTACCAAGTTATTCGTTTTTTATTAACTTAATAATATTTGTGCATTCTCACATATTAGTACTAAAATAAAATATCTCAATTTTTCCCTTCTTTCTCTTTTGGCAGAAACAAGTGACCCTCCAATGCAAATTCTTCCTCATGGCTTCCTAGGGTATATGATTTAAATAATACACACATATTCATATGTATCTCCAACCAATTTGTTCCTATAAAATTACTCTATTTAGTTATATATAGAAGTTTTGTTACCTGAGATAAAAAATTGAAAAAAATAAAATTTTATTTGTTGCAGGAAATTCTTGAAGATATTTGGATATAAAGGCGTCAAGTACTCTGGCAGCAATATTGGGTAAGTTGACTCTCCAACTTTAGCAGCAATATTGATAACCTTAAGCCAGTTCTTACTTTCTTGTTTGCAATTATTTTCAAGTTCTATGATTTATGGAGTCAATTAGTCAATTATAATTAATTGTGAAAAAAAAGAACGAAGATATATTAAATACTAAAACTCTTCAAGTAAGAAGAAATATCATTTATGGAGAAATATTGGCATGCAAGTGATTGGTGTTTGCGTTTTAAATTCATGATCGAATTTGTGATAGGTATATGTTACATATTAAATTTTTTTAGAATGGAATAAATCAATTCTCCAATTCTCTCGTAAGCCTTTATGAAGTCAGGCTCCATTTAAGGTGAAACATAATCGTGAAACATAATCCTTCTCATATTGAATATGAATATAACAACTCAAATCTCTTATTTTCCCTTAAGTGGATTATGTTGTGATGCAATGGACTTTCCATCATTCGTTTTCAAGAAAAGAAAAAAATTACACAAGGTTCTCAAATCTCTTGTTTTCCCTTAAGTGGATTATGTTATGATGCAATGGACTTTCCATCATTCGTTTTCAAGAAAAGAAAAAAAAAATACACAAGGTT